AAAAAAAAACTAAATTTGTGAGTCACTTGCTTTATTCTAACAAAATCTCTTAATTATAGTCGTGTTTTTATTGCTATCAGTATAGATTTAGGGTATAATTAAGGGAAATTTACCTCTGATAAGTTCATCAATGAGCTTTATATTGATTTTCCGAAGCTCAGAAGTTGGATCAAAGGTAGAGAGATTTTCAATTAAATATCTGTCAAAATACTGCGAACAAAGAACAGAAGAAAAGTTATGAGATAATCAGCGAGTAGAAATAAAGTACTTGGTTCATCAATCTACATAATTTCATCTATATAGATTTTAAAATAGGCAAAACCAATCCATGGTGTTAAAAGTCAACATATGGTTACCCTCGGGATGTGTGTGTGGGGGTTGCCGGGGTGATGCAGAAGGGGGAAAAAGGTGAGCTTTCGGGGATGCACTACAGTTCTGCATCTTGATCCAGGTGCTGGTTACATGAATGTGTTCACTGTGTGAAAATTCTTGCATTTGTACACTTATGATTTGTGCAATTACGATTTGTACAGCTAAATCTATATAGGATGTTTATCAATAAAAAAACCCAAAAAACTTATGGCCAGGTGTGGTGGCTTATGCCTAAAATCCTAGCACTCCAGGAGGCCAAAGCGGGAGGATCATTTGAGCTCAGGAGTTTGAGACCAGCCTGAGCAAGAAAGAGACCCCATATCTACTTAAAAATAGAAAAATAAGCTGGGCATGCTGGGCATGGTGGCAGGTACCTGTAGTCCTAGCTACTTGAGAGGCTGAGGCAGGAGGATAATGAACATAGGACTATGAACTTGCTGTGACCTAGGCTGATGCCATGGCACTCTAATGCAGGCAACAAAGTGAGACTGTCTCAAAAAATCAATCAATCAAAAAAAAAACCAACTTACAAATTGACACTTATCCCAATCTCCAAAGTCACTTGAAAATTCCACCTCTGGATGAAAGAACAAGATAACCGCCTTCAGGATGTTATGCACCAGGTTTATGTTGATTCTTGACTGGATGTATTCATTGTCTGCCGCAGAAGTTGGCCCTCCTTCATGACTGCAATTATAGAGCAACAGTGACACAAAGTCTGCAGGCCTGAGTAGCTGGAGACTTTCCTGCAGCTCCAGCAGCATGATTCGGAAGAAGATGATTCCTGCCCGCTGGACTTCCCCTACATTTTCAATCTCTGGAATAAAAAGATGACATCTCATATTGCTTGCTGTTCAGTCAATCACTTACATCATTTTGTCATAAAATTCTGAGCACATTATAGTAAACCTTTACTTTTTCCCCAGAAAAAGAAGACTATATCCTACGGTTTTAAACAATCTTAGTTTCTTTAGCCAAGAAAGCAAAAGAAATCAATGGAATTACACCCAGTAAACCTCAAAGGAAGAAGCCTTGAAAAAAGGTAAAAAGCTGAGTGTTAGAATTAGACTTTAGTTTAAAAATATGCTCTCCCCACTCTTAGTTCTATTGTCTCTCTGAATACCCTTCTCCTCTTCTGTGAGAATGGGCTAATCCCCACTTTCCTGGTGAGCTGTGGGAATTAAATGAGATAATATATGTAAAAGTGATTAGTTTCAGGCCTGACACATAGCGAACGAACACTCAAAAGACACGAATTTTCTTCTCTCTTCATATCCCACGCTATTGTAATGACTAGAAATCTCCCGGCTCAATCCCATATGATGTTACTCCTCTAATTCTATTCACTTCATTTTAGGTAGCCAAAGGTTTCTATGCCTTCGTTCCCCCTTACTCTCCAAGCTGTTAATGTGCTAAAAGTAGCCTAGTGGATGTGGAATCATAAAAACTGTGGTAGAGTTTGGCTCTGCCTTTAGCTTGCTACTAGGCATTGGGTAATCCACTTTGCTTCTGTGGGCTTTAGCTTCCTTATCTGTAAAATAAGGTGTTCCGATTAGCTAATGCTGTGTGACATTGTGAAAGTTTGCACCCCAACCTAGGTCCAAATCTATCCTTCACTATTTGTTAATTGTGTGGTTTGGGGCAAGTTCTTTACTTTTTCTGAACTTCACTTGCCTCACCTGTAAAATGGGACATCACCATTCACCTCACAGGGTTACGGTAAGGATTAATGAAATTATATACATATATATCTTTCTATATATAAATATAAATACAATATAAATAGCATTTATAAATATAAATAGAATTTATATATAAATTATAAATTTATATATTTATATTTCTTAATATAAGTAGAATTTCTATATATATATGTGTATATATATGTTTTGAGACAGAGTCTCACTTTGTTGCCCTTGGTAGAGTCTTGTGGCATCACAGCTCACAGCAACCTCAAACTCTTGGGCTTAAGCAATTCTCTTACCTCAGCCTCCCCAAGTAGCTGGGACAATAGGTGCCTGCCACAGCGCCAGGCTATTTTTAGAGATGGAGTCCAACTCTGGCTCAGGCCGGTCTGGAACTTGTGAGCTCAAGCAGTCTACCTGCCTCGGTCTCCCAGAGTGCTGGGATACAGGTGTGAACCACCAAGCCCAGCCCTGAAATAATATATTTAACGTTCTTGACACATCACAAGGCATTTAATAAATGCTAGTTCTATCTTGCCTTGTGAATCCGTCTAGTTCTAAAACTGTATGATTCTAACCAAGAGTATGTAATTCCATGCTCTTTGTTTTAATCTACAGACAATGCTCATTAGCCTAAAACTGCATTAGGGAATTCATTTCACAAGGAAAGATCAGTATATTACAATAATTTTAGAAAATGTATACTTCATTGCACTGTCTGTAATCTCCCCCAAACCTATAAAACCCATGAATCCAGACTGTTGCTGCATTCACAATACCTAAGACATATTTTTTCGTTATCTCTCCAGAGAATTCGCCAAGTATTTCATAGCAGGCAGCTTGGATCACCTTCACCATTTTCTGCAGGTCTTTATATTCTTGATACAACAACATTCTATTTCTGCCAATGTTAACATCCAGGACTCCCAGAGCCTCTCCTGTTCGCTCACGAAGCGGAATTACTATGTGCGTTTCTCCACTGGCAGAGGCCAAGACAACTTCTGAACTGTCTGCACACTTGAAGAGGAAATCCCTGAAACCCAAACCAAGTAAGCACAGGATATTAAACATTCCAGCCAAACGTACTGAATCACTCTCTCTTGTCCTACCTCGCTGCTGCCATGCCAGCCCTTGTTGCTGTTTCATCTGCCTGAAACACTCCATGCCTTGATTTCTCATGGCTCTGTCCCTCAGTTCACTCATGTCTCTGCTCAACTAACCCCTTGGTGGAGAAGCCCTCCCTGACTACCCTTTGCTAATTATCCCTTGCTGCTTTATGTCTTCATGATAACTATTAATAGTAAAGATTCATCACCAGGCATAATAATAAAGCCATCATTGGTTAACAGACTTCCTCCAAAGGCATTTGCTCTAAGTTACACACAGGAATCCGGGGTTATGAGTCTGGATGTTCTAAGGACTCTATAAAACTCTGGTTTACCACAAGGAATAATCTGTGTGGGAAACAGCTTGATGCTGAAGGAACATTCTGGTATCAGGCCAAACTAAAGTTTACTTAACAGATGTAATTAGATATCAAATTAGCCTGCTAGTCTGAGATTACTAGGTTAATAGGTGTGTTTTCAGTTAAGATCTGTTGTGCACCTGTCCAGAGGTTGGTAGCTTTCCTTGCATTCCACAGGGGAGAGCCGTTCTAAGTAATCTAGAACGAACTACTTGTTAAATACAACATTCTCTGCCTCCTCTTCAAGTTTGCTCCTGACTGTGTTCTTTAAATAAAAATAAAACAAACAGAAAAGCCCCACCATATTCACAGGCTAGCTAACATTGAAAGATGAGCTCTAATAAGTGAGTGATGTGGATGTATAATTCGTACTTCATAAATCTGCTTCAGTAAGAGACTTGAGACTTTTGCTGAATTCCATGTTTATAAACACTTTAAAAACACTTATACGTTATCATGCTTAAAACAGGCAATTTTAATATAAAATATCCATGACATTTGTTTTAAAAAGGATTTCAAGGAAAAAGAGATAAAATGTCTAAGAAGCTTTTCTTTAAAAGCTAATCAGGCGTGTGTACTAATAAGAGACAGATGCTGTGTCGTTCAGTCTATAATCCACACTAGGAGGCTGTGTACTGGCAGTCAGACAAAACAGACATGTCCCATACCTGAAGATGCACGACTTCCTGAAAACGGTAGGGGGATTTGTGTGGATTTCTGTTAGACCCTGCTTCCCCGTAACCATCATGTTCCGTAAAACGTAGTCTGAATCCTTGAAAAGAGGGAGAAATTTCATTAGAAAGGCATAGTTAGACCTCATATTTCCACTGAAGCTTTGAGACAGATAAATAGAAAAAAATTAGGAAAGTTTACATGGCTTCTAGCTTTAAAGACAGTGACATTTTACTTATTCAGGACCATTAAGAAAATGGGAATTCACCTCAGAGTCAAAGCATTCTATAATAGACATACTCTTACTTGACAATGTGAATGTTACTTTCTTTGCATTATTATTATTATTGCTTAATATTTATTTATTTATTTATTTTTTGCAGTTTTTTTTGGCCAGGGCTGGGTTTAAACCCACCACCTCCAGCATATGGGGCCGGCACCCTATTCCTTTGAGCCACAGGTGCCACCGATTGCTTA